AGCTGGTGGATCCCCCATACTGCCCATTAGCACATTGCCCCCTCCCCAGCTACTGCCTCCCTGTGCTCCCCCACAATTCCCAGCCCTTACCTTCTGGGCTCTCTCCCTCACTCCCACTGGCACTTTGATCCTGGGCTTCCCCTAGCAGCTCGGGGCTGTCACCACTGTTCCACTGCCACGGCAGCTCCTGCAGCTGGAGCAGGGTGTGAGGGTCTATGGTGTCAGACGGGACTGTGGGGGCCAGGACCCCCGGTGGACTCACCCGCTGGCGCAGGCTTTGCTGTTCCCGCAGCAGCTCCAGGAAGCGGCTGCTCCACAGAAGCTTCTCAGCGCCCAGCTCGGTGCAGAGGAAGCGGACATCGGCCTCCAGAGCCTCCAGCCTCCGCAGCACGGCCTCGCTGGCATCACCATGCCACTGCTCCCCCACCACTGCCCTGGCACCACAGCTCAGCTCCTGCCAACCCCCATGGCACCTGCCAGCCCCAGGGACGCCTCTGGGCCAGGGACTCACCTGTCTGTCCAGGCTCCCATGCAGAATCTGAGTCCACATCCTCCTCCTCCTCACTCCTCTCTAGTCTAAGCTGCAGGGCTGTGCCGAGCTGGAAGCCAACACGGACAGTGGGGACTGTTGGTCCATGGGCAGCTGAGTCCCTGGCACCAGCCCTGTCTGGGGAGCCCCCCTGGTGCCAGCAGGGTTTGTCACCGGGCTCAGCTGTGTCCCGGGGCTCGGTCGGTCAGGGGCCTTTCCCGTTGCGGGAGTTACCTGCTCGGTGACCTGGAAGGCGCCGTCCCAGCAGCTCTTGTAGCACATCAGCAGGACCTGGGGAGAGGAGCGCTCACAGCCGCCCTGTGCAGCGCAGAGCCCGGAGCGGAGTCCCGCGTTCCCAGGGCTCCTGCTGGGCACAGGCACAGAACGCCCTGGGCCAAGGACCAGCCCGGGGCGAAGGTCCCTCTCCCGCAGCGCTGCAGCGATTGCATCCCAGCAGCGCCCGGCTCCGGTGCGTGGGGGTCCCTGGGGAAGGGGCTGTGTGGTACGGACCCACGTCAGGCTCCAGAGCCCCCGCAGTCCTCGCAGCGCCGTCCCGCAGAGCGACAGGAGCAAGCGGCAGCCGGAGAGCAGGAGCCGCCTCCAGCCGGGCTCGGGCGCTGCGCGCTGCCGGCCCATGGCTCCTGCGGGCCGGGACACGCGACTGAGAGCCCCGGACACTAAATGAGCGATGCCAACACGTACCAGGGTCTGTCCAGCACGGCGAGAGGGGACCGGAGCGCTTGCGGGGCCGGATCCCCGCTGCCCCCTTACCCAGCCATGCACCAGCCCCTCCTGCCCCTCGGTGACCAGATGAACTCCTGCCTAATCCTCTTGGTGACGAGGTTCTGCAGGGATTAGCGTTTCCCTAACGCTCCACCTTTGGGGTCCATAAGGACAGTGGCTGCTCTTCTACACTTTTCTTTGCTCAGGATTTATCTTTCACAAGCAAAGGACTCAGGATACATTTCTAACCACTACTTTTAGCTTTAATTAGCATTCAGGTAAAGCCTGTGCAGCTCCCTCTGACTCCTATGCCCAGGCACCGGCCATTCTGGGGGTCTTCAGTCACTCAGGCTCTTCAGGAAGCAAAACACAAGTGCTCAGAAGTCAAATGGAAGTTTTAGGCACAACTGCTGGAGTCAGGACCCAGCTGGGAACAGCTGATCCTTTGACTGAATCAAGTGTTTGCCATTTCTTTCTGCCCCAATCAATGTCCCCCTTCAGGCTGCTGCATCAGACATTGAGCCGGGCAGAAGAGGCTGTCCCCTCCTTCGGTGACAAACAGCCAGAGGCAGGAATGGCTGCATGTCCCCATTGTCCTTGCAGTACCCCAATGTGTCACAGGAATGGGGAGCTGGCCCTGCCTGCACACAGGTTCTGAGCTACACCTGCCCTCTGCTGCTTCTCCAAAATGTTCCACACAAAAAAGTCTGGCAGCTTTCCTTGAGGTCAGAGGTGCAGCAGAGACTTCAGCCTCTGAAATCCAGGTGTTCCAGCCATCCCTACTTGGAGCAGCAGCAGCAGCAGAACTGTTTTCATACCGAGGCCAGGAAATCTAAACCATCAACTGAGAATTCTTGTTTTCCAGAACTATGGAGGAGCAAGGCCTTGTAGTTTATGCTGTTTCCTAGATCTTCCACCCCCTGTACTTAAACCCTGTAACTTGAACCACAGAAGTAGGCCAGCTTTGCAGCCTGGCCTTTAAGCCGCTCTGTCCCATGGAGAAGCAGCCACCAGTCCCTGAGCAGAGCCAGCTCCCTGCAGGATAAGCCAGATCCCTCTGGGAACAACACCAGAGCTGCTTTGATCCCCAAACATACACAACCCAAATCAGAATTCTGCTCCTGGTGCCTGGAGAGAGCTGAGGAGGACCCCAAACCCCAGGGGAGCAGAAGACACGAACCCTGGAGTGTTCCAAGAGCCATGCACACTCGGGGGCTCAGCCCTGTCCCATGGCCCCTTTCCTAAGGCCCCTTTCCCACATCTCCCTCCAGGAGCAGGGGTTACACAAACACATCCCAGCACTGATAAAGAAGGCAACCCCCCACTCTGAGCGAGGCTCAGTTCAACAGCAACACCAAGGTTCTGACCTGGCTGCTGTGAGAAGCACCTAGCCCTCACTTCCCGGTCCTGCTCCAGGGACAGTCCAGCCAGCTCATCCCTGCAAGCAATATGCCCTCACCAGCAGAACCATGTACATCCCATTCCTGTCTTGCAGCCAGATCAGCCAAACAACTGCAGATCAGAGCCTGGCACTCCCTGCAGAACTTGGTTACAGCTATGCCGAGCACAGAAAGCACCAAGTGAACCTCCCAAAGGCCATGGGATAAGGAAGGGGAAGAATTCCAGCAAAGTCCCCATAAGGCAGGTGAACACTAAAAAGCACCAGGAGTCAAAGTTTGGACTAAATAAACCATGAGAAGAGACAAACATGGAAGTTTTATTGTTTATGTACAAATGACAGAAGTTTGTATTTAAAAGAGAACCCACCCAGTCAGTGACAGCGAAGAACTGGCTCTGAGCTCTGGCCCTTCCTGCACCTAACACACTGAGGAGTATTGGGAGATGGTGTTCAAAATGAAAGTAAGAGAAAAGGGTTAAACTACCTTCTTCTCTGCTTGATTAAGAAGCAAAAGAGCTGCTCCACAAAATGAAGAACCTTCCACTACACGGACTAAACGAAGAAACCCAAAGTCAACTCGTAACTATACACTTCAGCTTTAAAAAAAGCACAACAAAAACAACAAAACTAAACAAAAAAACAGAACAAAAAACAAACCTGCAAAGCTAAATATCAGCAACAAAAGTAATCTAAGTCTCACAATACAGATGGGACACACTGAATCCTACCCCAATTCCAGTGGAAAAGAAAATGCCTCTCTGTGGGTCTGCAGGTGACAGGGGGGAGCAGTATCAGCCGTTTCAGGAAGTTCCTGACCAATGTGGAAGCACAGAACAGTCAAGAATTCAGAACTACTGCAACTACTACACCACGTTTGTCTTCCTGCAACTTGGGTGACTTAAAAATGACGCAAAATACATGGTCCAGGATCTCCTCCCCCCCATCCAAGTCCCTTAGAGTGAGTCACTCCTGCTGCAGCTGCCATCCTGCTTCAGGGCTTCTCAGTGGGGAGTCACAGACCTAAATCCCAGGAGCATCAGCACTGATGGCTCTAGTAGTCCTGCAGAGAAAGGACAGCACATGCACGTTAACACCTTCCCACCGCCAATTCTGCTCTTGGAGCTGGGTGGTCTCAGTCCTCTCTCATCTCACACACCACTAGCTGCAGGCAAAACAGATCTTTTTCTTGTAGCTAAATATTGAAAAGGATGGACCCTTCCAACCTTGCGTATCAACTCAAACCAGATGCTTTTGATGCTCCAGATCATGAAATGATAACAGGATGCAAAGCAGCTTTTTCCATGAGAAGCACACAGGAGTTATCTGTGACCCAGGTTCAGAACAGCCCACCTGGGCTCAGTTGCTGTCACAGTCGGGGGACAATGCTGATCTCACACTGTGACTCCTCAACCATGACAGTAAGAACTCAAATGACAGCAGCAGGAGGGTTTTTAAAGCTTGGGAGTCAGCCAGCCCCTCCAGTGAGCAATGAAAACACAGACAGAGCACAGATACTTACGGCTCTTGGCTTTTTGTTTAACTTGAGATCAATCCTGTGGTTGGAAAGACAAGAGAAACGTCCATGTCAATACCTGACCCAACACCAGAGTTACTGCACAGGGCACAGCTACAACAGAGACTACGGTTAATCCATCCATTCCCAACTGGCTGAGCCAGGGCGCTGTTCCCAGGGTTACTGGGCATGAGAGCAGCAGAGGAGAGTTGAGGTATTATTTGCCAAAAAGCAGATTCCATCCACTCCCAGACAGTTAATCAAGGGGCACAATCAATCACAGGGCACTTAGGCAGGTGAACAAGGGGAATTAGGCATGCTCAATGTTAATTTAATCTGCCAGAGGTGTAACTATGCCACAGGTAATTAGCCAGACATAGTGTGAGTGTTATTTACTTGGACAGAGAGAGGAGTTAGGGTGACAGGGATTATATGAGCCAAAGTTACTGAGTTTAGTGCATTTTTTCAAAAGGAAATACCCAAGTCTATACTTATCTCCTTAAGCAGCAAAGTCAAAAGAATCAGTTTTTAAACTAAATTTTAAAGTTAAAAAGTTTTATCTATTTAAATATGAAACAGAAAGGTAAAGAAGAGTGAAGTTAATTTATAATTTGCTGAAGTTATTAAATAAAATGTTACCTCCATCACGCTTTTCTGTTTTTAAAAAAAACTTCCCAGCCTAACCTAATATACATACCTACAATTAAACAGATAAACTAGGGGTTAGCGAAGTCTCAAAAGGCACATCAGTGTCTACACACTAACAACACAGCACAAGTACTAATTCAAGTCAAACTTACTCAAAGTCATAATCAAACATGCCAGACGGGCTGAGGGGCAGCATTTGAAAGGAAGAAAGCAATAGAAATTAATATACTAATGAATTAAATCAATTAATTGATTAGCCACCCTAGCGAGATTGCTAAAAAATAAAATAAAACAAATAATAAAGCCATTGTTCAAACACCATCAAGTTCTTCAGATTATCTTAACCAGATAATCTTAACCAGAGGGCTGGACACAAAAAAGCACTCTGGGTTGGCAATCCAGACTCCCCCTCCCCACCGGATTTCTGGGAACAAGAGGTGTTAGCAGAGGTGGGCTCGGTTTCTGCACGGGATTTTAGGAGCTGAAAGAAGAGCAGCTGCCAGACCCAGAGAGGGCAGAACTCGGGCAGAAGAGGAACCCGAGGGCTTGGAAAACCAAAGTGAGGGCTCAGGAAGCAGGGTGGGCTTAGGGTGCTGGGGAGGGGCTGGGCTGCAAGGGCAAGGCAAAGCTGCTTCAGGTAGAGGTGGCACAGAGCTTGGTGCTCAGCCCTGCTCTGGGCTGCTCCCCCCACACCCCCAGCACTGCTGACCTGGCACGTTTGGCCAGAGCTGACCAGTTTGGTGCCTTCCCACCGCTCAAACAAGTGCCACAGCTCTGCCCAAGGCTGACACCACTCAGGACGGATCGATCATGGAGTCCCTCTCCAGGACTGCACTGAGCCAACAGCGCTGGGCTCCCTCAAACACTTGTGGAAACAGCCCAGCACACAGAAAACATCCACTCTGGCCCTGCTGTGGTGTGGCAGGGAGCAGAGGGACAGCACAGCCTCTGCACCCACATGTGAGGCCAAAGGTCCCTGTGCTGAGCCAGCTCCCCACACGGGAACCCCAGCGGGGCCGAGCTCCTGCAGGGCCCTTTCCCAGCCCCTCCCGGGGAGGGGGAGTGAAGCCCAGAGTCGTGCTGGCAAATGGAAGAGCTTCTGAATAAAGAGAAAAGCCAACAATTCTTTTTATTTTTCTCTTTTTCATGCCAGACCCCTCAGGGGACAGACCCAAAAGTCTAGCTGGAGCACCTGTGGGGTTGTGGGGCCTGGAACGCCCTCGCTGCACGTTCAGGGACTGGGTTGTTGCTGGGCTGTTTTTAGCCTAAATATACTTGAGAATTGTTTGGTGTCATCTGCCAAAATTTAGGGGATAGTCAGTAACAGCAATCACAATTTTAACAGAGCTTTTATTACAGACAAATTTAACGATTTTTTTATCTTTTTAAATTATCTATCTGGCCCCGCTAAGCATTACAGTCAGTTCCTGCCTCACTGAGCCCCTCGGAGTGTCTGACGGGGCCTGGGAACACAGAAGCTGCCACAGGTGAGTAGGGCAGGGCTCCTCTGTCCAACAGCCTGGCCTGGCAGCAGCAGCCAAAGCTGCAGAGGGGGGATGTGAAGGAACCCAGAGCCACACAACCTGTTGGGGGGCAGCTTCCCCCCAGCTCCTGTCCCTAAAGTCTGGCTCATGGACCGGAGCAAAGGGATTTATGCCAGTTCCAGCTCCTGCCCTGCACCCCACCATGTTGTTGGCCATGGTTTGTCCAGGGAGAATATTCTATAATTTGTTTGAAATGGCAGTTTTCTTAAGCTGTACTTCAGTTTTACAGGTTGTTTCTCTGGACTTGTTCACGGATGTAGTTTCTTGTGTTATTCCTGAACTTCTTCCAAATATCTACAGGCAAAAAAAGAGATTTGAACTTCTTTGGATTCCCAGCTCATGAGGAACCAAAGGGACATCCAGTCCTTTTGGATATTTGCCCAATTCAGGCTGCTGTAGGAAGGAAATTCTGACCTAAGAATTAAAGACACGCTAATGACCCAACACTTAATGACAGCAAAAAAAGGAGTTAAGCATTTTTCAAGCATTGTACCTACCTCATCTCCCCACCCCAACTGTCCCCAGCTCCCCTTGTAAACTTTTACCACTTTAAACCCTTTCTTTAATTGCATGGTAGGTCCCTTAAAGAGCCTGCCTGTCCTTAGGCAGAGCCAACAGCTCAGAGCCAGCACAGACACTAGAGAGTTTTAGAAGCTCCATTACTTCTATTAAATCCTTAGGCACCAGCTTCAGCAATCCTTCCAGAGGGGAACAGCTCTGCAGTGTCTCCTCTGCACGGTTTTCCTGCCTCAGGGCCTGGCTCACAGGCACTGGCACTGCCAGCAGCCTGGGCTGAGGGCACAGGGACCAGCTCATCGCCCTCATTACACCTTAGGGGCAGAGCTGGACAGGTAAATCCAACCAGAAAAGAGTTCAAGGAATCTGTTTCACATGAATTTCAGGTCAGTTTAATAACAAACACTCTGAGGTGAAGGTGACAAAGCAACTCCTCTATGCCAGCACTGAGACTTGGCTGGAACATGAGAGCTGGAAGGGGCTGGAGTGGAATTCCAGATACAGGGAGTGTCCAAAACCCCAAAAGCATTCCCATTTGCTTTCCACCCTCCTTCAAAGAAAGCACTAGCATTCCTATCCTACTGGGCTCTGCAGAAACCAAGCAGCAAGCTCAGGAGGTCAGGACCTGCTGGAAGCAACAAGCTTTATCCTGGAGAGATGGGAGAGCTGGAGAAGCTGCCCAGAAGCACAGCTGGAGTGAGCACCTTGTGCTTGTTCAACTTCCTCAGCACCTTCCCCTCCTGTTCCAAAACCAGGAAAACCACCCAAACAACTGACCCCAGCTGCCTGTTTTTCCAATGTGTTACTGGATCCCCTCAGGCAGTAAATTCAATCCAGCCCCAGCCAACTGTCCAGGTGTGGTGAGCAGGCTGCTGGTCCCACTGACCTGTGTCTGTTTTTGTTCTTTCGCTTTTTGTGGCTGCTGTGGTGGCTCCCAGAGGAAGTGGAGGAAGCAGCTTTCTGAGGCTTCACACCCTGCACGGAGCCATCCAGCTCTTCAGCATCCTCCTGGTTGGGCTCATTCTCCTGGTTGTGGAAGTCTGGAGAAGTGTCACTCTCTGTGCCACTGCCTGGCTCCCCTAGAGCAGGACAAACCCAGGTGAGCACCAGGGTGAGCTGCCCTTGGGAGAAAAAACCCCAAAACAGCAGCAGAGACACCTGAGCCCTGCAGCACCAGGTGAACCTCAGAACCTGGGAAACAACTCTGCAGGATGGACAGGAAGCTGCTCCTCAGCACTGAGGAACCACATCCTATTTGCTGCTGATCACAAAAAAGGTTTTGTATCCTGGAGGTGAGCAGTCCCTCCCCACACCTCCTGTGACTGACACATCTACAGCGATGCAGTGCTTCAGCTCGTCCAGCCTCTTCCTCCAAAGAGCACCAAACCAATTTCAATCCCTTTTACACACAAAAAAAGCCCTGCTGAGTGTGGAAAGGAACTTGGGAAGTCAACAGCCAGGAGCAGCCTGAGGGCAGCAAACACAGGGACTGGGAACAGGAACCCAAGTCCAGCCCAGATCTGAAGGCTGAGACAAGGCTGAATGGTGGGGAGAGCGTAATTCTTCCCAAATTCAGAGAAAAACGACAGACTTACGCTTCTCAATGAGCTGGTCCTGGACTCCAGCTAATGCACTGACAGCCTGGAAAACCAAACAGGATGTCAAGCCAAGCAGGGATTCACTTCCCAATACCCAAAGCAGGAAGCCCAGGTCACACACTTCCCTCTGAAGTGCCCGTGGCCCCGTGTGGCCCCGGGGGTCTGGGGCAGAGACAAAGGCAGGGGGCAGCAGTGACAGCAGTGACAGGCATCCTCCCACCCCCCAGGCACCCGGAGAAGAGCTCTGGAAGAGGCCGCAGAGTGGGATGGGGATAAAACAGGAACAGGAATAGGGACAAGGAGAGGGATGGGAACGGAGACAGGGATGGGGACAGGGATAAGGACAGGGATGGGCACAGGGACGGCTACGGGGTCAGGGCTCATCCCGGCCCTCACCGCTGCTGAGGTGACAGAGGACTTGCTGAAGAGCCTCTCGGCCTCCTTGAACTTGCGGTTCCTCCGGTCGTTTTTGCTGTTGGAGTTCCTGAAACAGAGACAGGCGCGATGGCGGGGCCGGGCGGGCGGGGGGGGCCGGGCAGGTGGGCAGCGCCTCCACCACTCACTTCTGGTTGGTGAGATAGCGATCCCAGCCGCGGATGATGTTCCCGTACATCTGCGTGTCCTCCAGGTAGCTGCCCTCGAAGGCGTAGATCTGCCGCTCCAGGTTTGCCAGCGTCTCCTGCTGGGGAACACCGCCGCGCATGGAGCAGGCCCGGCCGCGCCGCTCCGGCCCCGCCACTCCCCGAGCCGCTCCGCCGCCACCCGCACCGCACCGAGCCCCTCCCCGGCGCTCACCGCCAGCTCCTGTTTGCGTTTCACCAGCTCGGCGAGCTCCCGGCGGGTGTCCGGGATCTGCGGGGGCCCGCCGGCCTTGGCGTGCAGCGCGGCCATGGCGGCGCGGCCTGCGCGGGGCGGGGCGGGCGCTGCCGGCTGCGGCCGCCGGGGGCGCTGGAGAGGAGAGAGGGGCGGGGGCACAGCGGCCACGAGGATGTGGCAGCCTCAAAAATCGGCATATTCCGTCCTTGTGCCAGCCGGAATAATTCGGATATCCCGAGATTCTGCCGCCTTTGGGGCCCCTCTGAAAGGAATGAGGGGTTTGTCTTTATAAACCACTCTGCTGGTACATAAAACTAGCGCTGGGAGATACACAGGGGGAAGGATTTCACTGATTGACGAATGGAATGAGGGATTTGTCTTTACAGATGTACTGTAGGTCTGCTGATAAATAAAATTGGATCCTGAGAGATGAAAGAAACAATGGGAAGAACCATCAATTCCACAGGAATTTGGCACAATGAAAAGGAAAAGGGGGGGATATACATTAGAAGGGGGGCTGTATCAAGCTATTTGGGAAGTCTGAGCCTCTCAAGCACCTCAGGCAATGGGGAAAGAGAGAGGGGTATGAGGCCAGGAAATTGGGGTAAAAAGGAAGCTGTATCCTCCAAAAATTTGAGAGACCCCAGGGGAAATGCCCCATGGCCTCTCTCTTTATTCAAATAAAGTTACAGAACTGCTCTGCCTCCTCTTTGGACATGAACCTCTGGTGTTTGAGGACTTATTTTCCTGGCACCTCCAACCCAAACCTTTCTATGATCCTATTAAACCATGTCACTCCGATCCTCTGCAGTGACACTGGGGGCCAGTTTGCACTTTTGCAGTACATCAATTCTGTCACTTCACATTCCTGTGTGAACCGTCCCAGGGGACACAGAATGAGCCACACTGGCCACACTCAGGTGAGAAAGGCCCGGCCAAGGGGAGCAATACAAACCTGTGCTCACAGCCTCTCCAGGATACAAACTGTGCAGTTTTTAACTTATTTGCTTTCTTTACTACAGAAAGCAGTACTGAAACTTCATTTCTTTGGAGGGAAAAAAAAATAGAAAAATATTACAACTGAAAGCAATCAGGGATAAATTTACAAACTGTTTATTTAAAAACCCTTGGAGTAGATATAAAGGAGCTCCTCCTGCTCAAACCCCATCCTACCCATCTGAAACCCCACAGCAATGCCCCATATTTACACAATCAATGTGTACAAGCACCTTTGTGTATAGTCCGTACACAGCAGGGACAAACAGGTGAGACCACAAACACCCAGGTGAATCAGTAAAATGTGAGACACATACATTGAACATAAAGCAACATGGAGGAGACACCAAAGACTCTGCAACTCCCAGGGAGCGGGACTGGTGCTTCTCTCCCTAAACACTGACTTATTCACTGTGTTAAACAAGGGGCTTGGGTAAGTTTTTATAAAAAGAGAACTTAAATAGTGCAAACTGGTTAAAACATGTCACCCTATCAAAGGTGTTTCTGTCTGACACAAACCTGGTGTGGGGTCAGAAATAAGGGCTCCAGCTTTCAACCCAGACACTCCACATCCAGGACAGTTTCAGCATCATGTGTGGGAACAGGAAACTTGGGTCACAGTCTCATCACCTGAAATTCCAGGAGCTGTTTAACTTCTGTTTCACATTCCCTTGTGATTTCCAGGCAGAATTCCAGTGAAATGCCCATCCCTCAATCACCGTGAGGCAAATTAAATACCAAAAACATACAAATACAAGAGGGTCTTTCTGACGTTTCTGCCATTTTAGCAGTGATCTGGGTAAATTCTCCTGTCAGAACTCCCAAGAGGCAGAGAAATTTGGCAAACTACGGAACAGGATGTGCATAAGGTACTCTCTAACTAACCTTTCAGTCTGTAGCATTTTCAAAGGGCTATAACAAAACAAGCTGTAAAAATAATTTTCCAGATGCCGTCTGTGTTTGACATGGTTTGCTAGAAGAGTCTGGCAACATCTTGTGGAGGGTTTCCAGCACCAGAGCTTTCATGTCCAGGTGCTCTTCGGCTTCTTGGGAGAAAAATAAAATAGAAGTAAAGCTGTATTTCCTGATATGCAAAACTATCAAAGATGAATAACAAGCAAAGCCCCCAAAACAAACTATGGGAACAGACCAGCAACAGAGAAAGGACTTTAAGGCAACAAGAGGCATCAGTGCTGCAATGCTCCGTGTTCACATCCCAGTCCCGTTCAACTGGAAGGAGTTTCTCTCCTCTGCCTCTCCCAAACTTCTTCCTCATCTGTTAACTGTCAGACTCTTCCTCCTTCTCCTCATCCTCATCATCGTCCTTTGCATTGGCCTCAGATTTATCTGAGGATTCATGGAGCAGGACATACTCCCTGCTGCTGAAGCCGAACTTGAGCACGTCCTTCTCCTTCAGTTCGTAGTAGCGCTGGGGCTCGATGCGCTGGTTGTTGAGGAAGGTGCCGTTCCCTGAGCCCAGGTCGATAATGTAGGGCCTCACCCTGCGGCCCACGGTGCCGTCAGCTCGGGTGTACTCCACCAGCCTGGAAAACAAAAGCACTGCCTGAACTACCAGAGAGACAGCAAACATGCTCCAAAAGCAGGTGAGACACAAATTGTGCTCCGTGAGCAGGTGGGTTTGTGAAGTGAACACTCATCCCTCACAAGACTGGAACAGCCCAATGAAATCAACAAGAACCTCTGAGACAGAGCAGATTCTGAGAGGCTGCATCATTCCCTAAACCTCTGGGGATGTAACATAGCAACTCCTGCATTGGGACAGATGTTCTCCAAGAGAACACTGCTGGCAGCAGCAGCAGGAGCCCCCTCTGCATCAGAGCACGGCTGCCATCAGTGAGAGACAGTAAACCAACAAACCTCTCCTTGAAAGGCTTTTACTGTCCATCACACCTGGTGGGTTATCCCTGCCTGGACTCATACCCCATGCTGTGTCTAACCCCACTATGCAATTTCTCTACTCCCAGCTAAATCACAGGAATTTCAGCTACATTTGCCCACTGCTGGGATGATCTGCAGCAGTCACAATAAATTCTATCTCTAACGTGCCCACAGCGAACTCGCCACACATTCCAAGGCATTTGCTTTGTGCGTTGCCTTTCCTCCCGAAGTTCCTCAGGCTGCTCACCGGTACTGGAAGACGGCGTGCTGCTTGGAGCAGGAGGGGTGGTCGATGGGGATGTCAGCAATGCGGCGGTGCCGGCCCAGCAGGTAGGCACTCTGCCTGTGGATGTACATCACGGGCAGGAACTCGTCGTTCTTGAAGGGGTACAGGCGCCAGCGCGTCTTGGGGATGCGTGCCTCGGGGGGCTCGCTGTACTTGATCACCACGCCCCGGAAAGTGTTGGTGTCCTCCAGCAGTGCCCCTGACAGCTCGAAGCTTGGCTTCTCCTTGTTTGCAGCGGCTTTTTCTTTGGGTTTGCTCTCTGGCTGCCAGGGCTCTGCGTTCTGGTCACCGCCACCCTCGGTGCCCTGCCGGTGCTCTCGCCTCCTCTCGTTGTAGAACTCCCTCTCTGCCTGCTGCTCCCGCAGGTTCTGCACGTCCTGCTCGTGGCCGCGAGCTCCCGGCCTGTCGCTGGGGTTCTTCTTTCTGTCTGAGTGGTCCTTGTGTCTGTCCCGGTCACTGCTCCTGTCCCGGTCACCGCTCCTGTCCCGCCGGTGCTCCTGCTCTGATGGGTGCCTCGGCTTCCGCTCCTCATTCCCCCTGCGACAGTGATCATCTCGCTCCTGGAAGGGACAATCAGAATGAAAGAGCAGCACATCTACCTTGGCCTTTCAGAAAATCCCAGTCCTACACACTGGGAAAACACATACTGGGATGTGTGTGTGCAGCTCTGACATAATGTGGAACAGATTTCCTTGCCAAACTGCTTGGGTTCCCACAAATTGCATCGAATAAAGCACCAGGAACAGGCAGGGTAACCTGCTCTGAGAAAAGGATGCATCTCCCAGGGACGCCTGTGCTGTGGCACAGCCTGAGCTGGGCAGCAGGAACTCCTGGCTCGCCCAGATCCTCCCTCTGCCCATGGGGCACGATGCAGGGCCCAGTCTGAAGCGACAAGTGAAGAGGCGCCTTGTGTATCCGGCCCGGCCGAGTCTCCGGGAACCGCAGGGCGCCGCTGTATCGAGAGCACAACTCACCTGCTTTACCCTCACGGCGCCGTGGTGCGGGCTGTGGCTGCGGCTCCTCCTGCTTCGCGGCGAGCGGCTCCTCCGCCCGGACCGGCTCCTCCGCCGGGGCGACCTGCGGAACAACGGGAGGGGTCGAGCGGCGGGGCCAGGCCGAGCGCGGGGCCGAGCGGCCGGGCCTCCCTACCTGCTACCGCGGCTGCCCGCGCGCGGGCCTGCCGGGCCCCGCCGCTCCTCCCCCGGCGGCGACGGGCTGCGCCGGGGGCTTCGCCTCTCGGCCTTCACCGCCGCCTCCCGCCGCCGCCGCCGCTCTCGCCGCCGCTCCTCCGCCGCCGCCTCCATGGCGCCCGTCCCGACGGGAAGTGCCGCCACTTCCGGCCCGCCAGCGCTTCCGCCCGCCGCCGCTTCCGCCCGGGCGTTGCTGCGCCTGCGCGGGGCCGCGCGCGGCGGCGGCGGTGCCGTCGCCATGGTGACGGGGCCGCGGCCGCCATGGCGGCGCCGCCGGAGTCGCTGCTGCGGTACTGCACCCCCGTGCTGGTGTCCCGGCGAGGAGACAGGGCCTCGGCGGGGGTGAGCGGGACGGGGGGCACGCAGGGGGATACGCGCGCCGGGGGCCGAGGCTACCGCGGTCCCCTGCCCGCTCTTACGGCGCCTGTCCTCCTCTCCTGTTCCCGCAGAGTCAGCCGCTGAAGGGGACGCTCCCGCTAACCCCCGGCAGCATCCCCTCCTCGCAGCAGCCGCAGGAGCTCCTGAACGCCATCCTGCCGCCGCGGTGAGCGGGGCCGGGCCGGGGCCGGCAGCGCCCGGCGGGCGCCCGGTGACTCCGGTAACGGCCGGTGCTTCTCTGGCAGGGAGTGGGAGGAGGCGCAGAAGCTCTGGGTACAGGAGGTGTCCACCGCGCCCAGCACCCGCCGGGACGTCGTGCAGCTGCAGGAACAGCTGGACCGGCA